TATTTGCACAGATATATGTCTCATTTTTGACTCACCCTCCCCACCCTAGCCAACATAGGCCAATCCCGTGCTGTCAGCCTGCGACAGTTAATTCCAGTGCAACTAAATGAGGAAAAGGTAAACAGCTAAATCGAGGATCGTCAATCTCCCGTGACGTCCACTGATACATAATTTTCCCACGCCTGTTAAGATGGACATATGCCTCCTTCTCAACGCACAAAGTCCCTTGCCAGGTCTTGCCACTACGGCCACCGCTGCTGCTGCCGCCAACGACCCAACAGACGATAAATACACCGGGGCTACGATCCCTTATGCACTCCAGGCGTATTGTGTGTAGCGGCTCTCGAGATAAATATATTAATGTAGCAAGGTTGCTGACCTAGTTCCAAGGTTCTCTGCTTCTCGTAGAAAGACACTTCTTCTCCCACATCGTTTTCGTGTATTAAATACACTATGTCTCATCTGGCTAATCCAAGAAACCCACAACCAACAGTCTCCCATAATTCCACAGACCCACAATCAACAGTCTCCCATAATTCCACAGGAAAGCAAAGGTGACGTCGCCATTTCTGCAGTTAATAAGGTGCGTTTTTCTTATATTCTTATGCAACAAGTATGAGATTGCTCTCAAGAAGCCACAAGGTTTACCTGTCGTGGTGCGCGGTTTCAATTCTTGTGTGCTGTGTCTTCTGTAGTACGGAAAAAACCCTCCCTCTTTCAGCATCAAAGAAATCTTCTTCCAAGAAGGGAGACTTCTCATCTGCAAGGTTACACAAGTCAACAGCTCCATCCGACAGTACCACCTCAATTACGATCCCTCCATCGCTTGCCGTCAATTGAGAATTTTGTGCAGCTCGTGGAGTCGATTCTCATTTTGCTCCTGAATCGGGAGCGCGAGGAGCCATGCGATACTAATGTAACATGTCTTCTAGGAAATTCACCGTTTCCGTGAGACAGCTGTCACACTAATAATGCCTGCATTAGCCTTGAGAGATGAAAAGCTGAGCGGCCTAAAGGACAAAGTTGAAAGCATAGCAAAGGATTCCAGGCAATTTCGCTGGGGAGCGAACCGTTTGAGAAAGCAGATGTGGTGGAAAGATGTGAAGTGGCGCATATGCCTAATTTTAGGCATCATCGCCGTCTTGTTGACGGTGGTTATTATTCCGGCGGGTTGGTGTATTATGCAACTCCCGCAAACGAAATCCTTCTGACAGATTGAACAGTCCTTGCCACCCGTTAATTCTGTTCAAAGGCGTCCATACCACCGTGACGACTTGGATTGGATCCCAAAGGATAGACCATGTCAATGGTTTGTTTATGGTGGCACGTATATCGCACGTATATCGGGGCGTTCAATGTCTGGGCAGCAATGTTGCGTTGGTAATGTGTCGTGGACCGTAGCCAGTTGGTCAGTCATTATCCCTACGTGTACACTTAGGACGGCTGCAATGATTATATTAAGAGCTAGTTGGGAACCAGAGCACTGTCTATGGAAGAAATTTGGGAGCACCTCCATACTGCATGGATCGCCCAGATTTTGTTGAATATCACGGCGGAACACACATAGCCCAGAGATAAAACCAGTGCGAAGATTCTATGAGATAGAGTTAACACCGAGAGAGGCAATTTATGGACGGCGCAAGCCGGACCCTCCATGTGAGGTCGCATCATGTCAACACAGTTCACTAAAGCTCGATTGAACTAGGGTTTCATATGTGCTACTGTCCGAATGACCACTGCGCTACTCGCACAATAATATTGTATCTAGATGTATTTGGTTATTCAATCTTGATGTATTTGGTTATTCATGATTATATCT